ATTATTTAAAATCCAGCTTTAGTTGCCTCCCTAGGGACCTCTGGAATGACTCCTTAAATTTCTGTGAAAATTGAGTGGAGAAATGTTGGGTATGAAACAGTCATTTGGCATTGAATTGTTGGCACCCAGTAAACTACTAGTGAGTCACAAGTTGGAGGTAGGGAAAATATGGATCTCTGAGAATCTAGAAAATACACTGAGAACATTAGCCACTTGAGGGATATTAGCAAGTGTTAAAAGAAAATTGGAGAGCATAACAAGGGGGGAACCAAAATCAATAACCCACATTTCATCTACTTCATAATTCTGTATGTTCTAGTTGCTTCCCCTTCTTCCTCCCAGGACATTAGTAAAGATCCTTATTAAGACTTTGGCCTCCAGAGATGCTGGTCTTCCATTCAGAAAAGAACTCCATTTGAAAATGGAGCTTTGGGCATCTGTGCTCACCATTTCACCCTGCCCTGCAGAGCCAAAGTGAGGAGGAAAGATGGATTGTAAACACGGTCCACACCCTTCTCTTTTGAATAGGAAATAGTCTACATTCTTGTTATCTTCAGCCTACAGTATGTAAGAGCCTAAGAAAGGCTTTGCTTGGGAAGTTCCTTAATCATTAATGATAGACAGAAGAATTCATGGACATACAGCAAATTGTCATCTCCAGTGGCACTTTTGGGAAACTGATGCCCTTCCTCAAAGTAATGTACTACAAATTTAGAAAGAATATATCTATTACAAAGAAGAATTTCTAGGGGACAAAAGATCCATTTTCAGCTGGGCGGTGGTGGCACACGCCTTTAATCCTAGTGCTCGGGTGACAGAGGCAGGTGGATCTCTGTGAGTTTGAGACCAGCCTGGTCTACAAGAGCTTGTTCCAAGATAGCCTACAAAGCAACAGAGAAACCCTGTCTCTAAAAAAACAACAACAAAAAGATGCATTTTCCACAGATTATTTGTGGAAAACACAGGCAACTCTATGTTTCTTTATTCAGTTATTCTCCTCACCATGTCATACAATCCTGACTCTAACATGGAGATAGAGTACAGAAAGAACAGATAAAGCAGAGTTGTGTTACAAGCCCCTGCATTACTTACTGGGTTAGAAGTAAGACAGTGAAGATCTATGTAAACCTGAGACAGTGGTAAAAGCCTAGCAATGGGCAGAGTATAGATGGGCGTTCCTCCAGTGCTGTCTTTGCTGGAACTCCTGTCAACACAGCTGCCTTTTCAGGTAGAGGACTTAATTAGGACATTTCATCCAGTACAAATCCAAATCATGTCTCTCCAATGCATAAATGATCTCAGTGACTATGGCTTATCACATTACAGGATGTTACAACAGATCTGTCTCTCTCATTTACTTTATATAATAAGTGCATATTCTTGCTGTCTCAAATACATTTATATGAGTTTGCCATCTTATCAATTCCCTTTCCTGGTAAAGAAGTGAATACTGTTCTTGATTTACTAATTTAATCTTTTTTATAAGGATTAAAAAAAAAAACCTTTTGAGTATTATACTTCAATACTCTAACATGTTTCACTGGCTAGCAAATCAATTCCAAAATTTAATAAATTTACCTAGTGTGGTTTAATTCATGTGCTTGCTTCACAACTGCAAGCATTATTTTTAATATATATATATATATATATGTATGTATGTATAAAACAACAATTAATCAAAAAATGCATGAATTTGAAAGAGAAGGAGGGGTACATGGGAAAGTTTGGAGGTAAGGAAGGTAAGCAGAAAATTATACAATTATATTATAATCTCCAAACCAAACAAAGTAATAAAGACTGAAAAGATTAGAAATCACATCAGCCAAATCAGTTTTTCTTGACCACTTATAGACAAGCACAAATGCATATTTAGTTGGTAAATTTTGTTTTTGTTCATCTATATTGTTTTGAAAGCATTAGTCTATTCATAGACTAATGAAGAAAAATTCTGATTAAAATGAAGAAAAATTCAGAATGACTTACAGCGTATTAAAGTGGAGGGGAATAAAGCAATAATGAAGGTACACCAGCAATTAGGATTATGCTTCAGAAAGAAAAAGAAGCATACAGTAATACAACAATGCACATATCTTAAAATAAAATTATAAGCTGCATTTTCTCTTTATTTCAGTAATAGGACCCTTCAAAGTGTCAGTCAGCAAGTTTTGAACATTACTAAATGTGAGTCTCTTTTGAAGCTATCATTTCTTGTGAATAAGCGCCATTTTTATTTTATTAATCTTATTGTCATTAAATGAAAACCATAGAGGCAACTAGAAGCACCTCTGATGAATATTTCTCAGGATTAGAGTATGATATCATTTGAAATTACTTCTCATTCATCCTCTTTTGCAACCTTATTGTTCCCTTTGGTCATCTCATTCTAGAAAGTGGATGAAAATACTGATATTAAATACAATTCAATAAATGAAATGAGGAAAAATTATGATTATATAACAGAAGTTTAAGATGTCACTTCTACCCACAATCTGAATAAAGAATAAATGTTAAATTATATATTTCAGGAAATTGTTATTATTTCTGGTGTCAAAAAGTATTGTTAAATAATGCAGAATACTGAGTTAAAGGCAGAAAAAAAAATCTAACAAAACTTCTGTTCCTGGCTAGGTATTTTGTACGATGGTAATTGACAGAAATAAAGTAAAATCTTGCTATTTTTAAATGTTAAATTTTGTAAACATATCTTTAAAAATACAAATTAAGTTAGTCTGTAATCCCTATCATATCTTAATGGTTATCCTCCGGTTTAAATTATTTTAAAAATAAAAGTAGTCTGTGTCATACTATCCTTGATTTAAGCCTGTAGTATTCCCTATCATAAGCTAATTCTTAAACTCGGGTCAGACTTGGCCCAAGGTCACACTAATACATCTCTCATTGTCTACCAGTGACATTTGCTGAATATTACTTGAAGCTACATTTTTAGCATTCCCTCTGGCATGCTGAGATTAGATGTGACATTTCTTTCCAGAATAAAACACAAGGTCAATTCTAAGGAATATAATACTGTATTTTTTTGTGCAACTTTGCATTGGCTTATCTATGGGATACAGGCTGTTCATTTTAAATCACAGGCCTCATGGACCACTACCAAAAACATGCTAAATCCTGCTCGGAGGATGCTACTGTTGTCCCAGCCTATAACTCCATCTGAACCCACAGAATAATCCTTAAGAAAATAACCACAGCAGAGGATAGAATGGTCTAGTTTCTACTATAAAGAGGTGCTGGAATTTCCCGCCCCCTCTGCTGGGGGTAATGAGAGCGAAAAGGAGGCCACTTTCTAATGGTGCAGTATTAGAGATGTAGATAGGTGTCTGAATTCATTAGAACCATTATGCATGCTACTATGGGTTAAATCAGACATTGTATAAAACCAAACATGTCTCAACTATTTATAAAAATATACTTAAGTGAAACAACCCATTGTTAAATTTATAATAATAATAATTTTGAAACGGCTTGAGTCATGCTTCATATTTTCTAAAATATTACAGATTTTAAAGTAATAATAATAATAATAATAATAAATCCTTTCAAGTGCCCAGTGAGCCAGCTTTGCTTTCAGTGACCCTGTCAATCAGTACATAAAATGTACTTGGGTTTTTTCCTATGATTGAAAAGCAAAAATTATTAAATTCAGCCATTTATCTCAATTAAACATAAATATTTAGTTAAAGTCAAGGAAAATTCTAATGAATCATCAAAATCTCCAATATGAAGACGCTGACCAGTTCAGAATGAAAACGTTTTGGCATCTCTAACAGTCCTGAGCCTCATGGTACAATAAAATGAAATACAGGGCATGCTTTACTTTTCTCAGTTCAGGTTTCATCCAGAAAGCACACCAAAAATGGTTTTAGGACTTAGATTACAAAACTTTATTTTCCCTAGTTCAGATATTTAAGAATGATACTTTTATTCTTTGATTAAAATGTTATGTGCAAAGAACAGATATTATTTGGAGAAACTCGACATAAAGCCAATTTATAAACATTTCTTTATGCCCACTACCATCTGTTTCCTTGGGGATCTAGAAAATGATATTCTGTATGAAGAGTCTGAGTGTTGCTACTTGAACCTTATGAATTAAATAAAATGACTGTTAATATCTGGGTTGAAGCTTCAGAGATAGTTCTTTATATCTATAAGGAAAGCAATGAGCCGTCTAAGCTAACTCAGCATAGAGAGCATTTACTAACAAAATGATTGTAGGAAATCATTGATTTGATGGATGTCTGGGATTGTGTGTAAAAGAAGAACCCAGGACAAACATGGTCACAGATTTGAAAGCCATTAACAGACTGTTCTTATCTGCCCTAGTATGGTTTATTAGCACCAGACAAGCTTCCTGTTTTCTCTCTCTTTAATGATACTGTTTTATGAAGCAATGAATGTTTTCATTTGGAAAATAAGAATTCATTGACATGTTTTCTGAACTATGGTTTCTTTAATGATGTCAAGGGAATAAATATGTTAATTCAGAGTTTTGAATAATGCCCTTGGTAAGGCCCATTACTCTTCTGATTTTGGTGATTGTTAGGCCCAGGTGAGAGAAAATTAATATTATATAGCAGGGACTATTTCACTATGAAAAAGTTTTGAATTAGAAATAATATGGAGCAATTTGGTCATATACTATTCTGTGACAATTTCCATGATGTATTCTCCAAAGTAAAATTTAGCTTATTGTCAATTATAACAACTTAAAGAAATACATACCAAGCTACAACTTGATTCTTCATAGCATAGTCGTTATGAAAATCTATTACAGGAGTCAAAAGTATTTGCCACGTCTTATACAAGTGATACCTTTTCATAGAGCAATAAAAGTCTCCTCGTAAACACAAAACATCTAACACCATGTTTCTGGAGGAGGTAGTATCCGTGTGAGGCAAGACCAAAACCCAAAAACAACAGAAGGGCCAAACGGAAAGAGGAGCACACCCTAGTCTTAAAACTGGAACGAAACAGTGCTCAACATTTGCAAAACATTCCTTTATTATTAGAAATAAATTATTTGTATAAAAAGTGCATGCGTCAACCATTGCATTTATTTTGTAGCACAACCCAGGGCTTCAATCCGGTCAGCCATTACAAGAGACAGACTGAGTCTTATACAAGTTGAACAGTGTGGGACAGGAACAGGAGTTCTCACAATCACAGAAATATACTTACAAGAATAACATCAGACATGGTTTATTTCAACGGCATTTTTTTTTTCACAAGCTAACATTAGTTTTCCTTTTGAATTTTTTGTTTTAATGCTCACAGGTAAGCAATACTTTAGCTTGACACTCATTGGTCATATTGTATAAAATTGGTTTCTTTGCTCCTCAGGATTGATACTTTTGGCTCATGGCTAATTGTGTTCCTTACAAGACTATTGATCTGATTGATTGTAGTCTACAGAGGTCTCCAGGAGTGACTTTTTTTGTAGTCTCATGTTCAATATTTAAGGACACACACCACCTTTCTTCAGATGGTGTCATCTCCCTGTTCAGATTGAGTGATTGCTGTAGCTGATATATGTTGTCTTGGTAGAGGAAGCTGTTAAAAAAAAATGGGATATGTTAATAGTGCATAATAACCACCTTGCTAATACAATTTCAAATTCTGCTTGGGCTGTCTGATAATAATGTTTTGAAATATGTTACTTAGTATTTTAAACCATGTAGTAGAAATCCAACTAAATTGTTAATTCACAAAAGCCCCAGTCCAGTGTATAGTATAAGAATAGTATGCAGAATAATGGATACAAAATGCTAATTATTAAAAAACTTAAGTGAAATAGTATTTATAAATCACCTTTACAAATTAAATTTTCATATACTTAAAAAGAAAGAAAACACTGATATCCTACAAAAGACATTTGAAAATCTACCAGACTAAATCAAAGATTTAAATCACTTCAGCCAATCCTATAACCAAAAAGTTATTTGTACTTTGACAATGTACATCTTCCATTTAAAAATTAATAATAATCTCAGACTTTAGAAATTAACAAGCCAATATCTCAAGTACACACAAATTTAGCTAAATATTGGCACAGTCAGTAGGTATTTATGACGTTTTAAAATTTTTTAACTAAAGTATACATGGAAATAAATTCCAAAGGATGAAATTAATATTTGATGCCTCTGTTACCAACTTACTATGAAACAATACTCATTGCTGTAAGACTAATAGAAATACATGGATAAAAAAATATTCTGTCAAATTTACACTCATGCTGACACTTCCAGAGAATACAAAACTAAATACAAATAATTGCACAATTCAAATATATAGTGTAAATTTTTTCAAAATAGTTACCTACTTTAAGTTAAATATTAGAATAATGATATTTAAACACCTGAACATGTATTTTCATGCATTAATATAACTCAGAATGAAAATATTTTTAACTAGTTTATTATAGTTGCGTACATTGAGCACTGATAGGAATCATAAAACTGTTCTTTGGACATACTTGATAATTAGACTTATCCCTCTATAATTCTGAATACCTGTAATGGAACCATCCAGTTTATAGGCAAAGCCATGCTGAGTCTATCACTAAAATTAACACAGTCCAGGAAGTGCTAATTACATGACTCTAATAACATTCATTTAATTGAACAATATTAAGTAAATATTCAAAATATGCCACTCATGAATTTATGTTATCTTCCCTTATCACACTCGAGTGTTATCATGGAATAGTAAAGAAAGGTGGACTTCACTCCAGCTATACATTGTGTTCTATTTCTATAAAACGATTAACAGTAAACCACATCCATATGTGTCACCCTCACCACTAATTCAAAGCTGTAGCAGCTATAGCATGCTGCAAGAATAGAAGAGAATAATGTCAGGGAGAATAAGTGTTTCATTGGGAGAAACCCTATTGTCTCCCTCCTCTGCCTTGTGTGTGTGTGTGTGTGTGTGTGTGTGTGTCCCTGCATGTCTTCCTCTGAGTGTGTCTCTGTGTATATTGTTGTGTGTGTGCATGTCTCTGTGTGTGGGCACAAATAGGCATGGAAGCCAGAGCTCAATCTCAGTTACCATTCCTTAAAACCTTAAAGCCTTGTGACAGAGGCTCTTCCTCAAAGGTGGGGACTGATTAATTTAGGCTTGGCCAGCCAGTAAGTTCAGGAATTCACCTATCTCTGCACTTACAGCACTTGAATTACAAAAGTATGCCCATGCCCAGGTATTCATGTGAGTTCTATGGATCTGATTCGGGTCCTCATGCCTCTGTGGCAAGCAATTAAGGACTGAGTCATTCATTCCCTGTCGTTCTGTAATCCTATTGGATAGCTCTCTTTCCAAACGGTAATCTGGCTGCTGCATTTGCTTTTTATCGTTTCAGGAAAAGTGAGGTACAATGGTTTCTATATTGGTTTACTTTCAGTTCTCATGATTTAACTCATATACTTCATTTTGTGCTTCTAAATTTCTTTAAGCAAATAAATTCTGTACACTTTTTTTGTTTTTTGATACATTAATTACTTGTAGCTGAGGTGAAGAAAACATGCCATAATTTAGAAAAGTGACGGTCAAAGGGCCACTGAACTTTCTGTGGTGTTTAGCATTGTTGGCATTGTCTGGAAGTGCAGGAAATCTTTGTTTAAATATATAGACTGAAAAAAGGAAAAGTCAACATCAGACGTGCTGAAGTGGAAAGGGTGAATCTCCCCAGGTCCCAATTCTAGGTAGAGAACTGCAGGAAACCAAGGGTTGCTGAGATCGGGAGAAATTGCCATGCCCAGAGAGACCACACCAATTGGTGTCATAGCATGAAATGTCTAGTCCTGGAAATATATCCAAACAATTATAACATGAATATTAAAAACAAAAAATCAAGAGGCCATGGAATGGAAGAAAGCAAGGAGGGTTCAGGGGATGCTTGGAGGAAGGAAGAAAACAGAAAACTATGTAATGATACCTTAATTAAAATGTAAAGGGGAGAGAAATCACAATTGTAAAAGGGAAAAATAACATTCAGCAGATCTGCTTTCTAAAGACTTTTAAAGACGTTATTCAAGAAGCAGTGACTGGGACCAGACTGCCTTTAAGGGTCATTGTAACCTAGAGGGTTTATCACAAATCAAGAATACATACTCCACTCTTTCAAGTGTTTTTGAACAAGATTTGAAACTAAAGCATTAAAAGCAATTTCTAGGGGAAATTGTACAACCATGGGAGTCTCATTTTGAGACTCTGATTCACAGAAAAACAATGTTAATTTTCGCTGGCTAAATTTTGCTGGTAAAGCAAATCAAAGTTCTGGAAACATGTGTTTTAGTCAATATAAAAGCCACAATAAAAATAAAAATTAATATTGAATTAAAAAAGAAAGAAAAAAGAAAAGCCATGGCATTGACTTGTGAGACAGGGAACCGCCAAAGGATGTCATTGAGTTTGCTTTCTCTTGACCATCTAGTGTTGGGTATGTAACCAAGCATTAATAATAATATGTTTCCCCAGTGAGACTCCCTTTTCAATCAGAAGTGGTTATCAATTGGAGATAGCTTCTAGAGTAAGGATGGTGGCATGTGTCCACATCTCCTTTCAGCTCTAGGGCTTCCTTGCGTGCATATTTCTGAAGGTACTGTGCATGCTGCCTCAGTCTCTGTGAGTTCATATGAGTATTAATCATGTTGATTTAGAGGGCCTTGTTTTCTTGGTGTCTCCCATCCCCTCTGGCTCTTATACTGTTTCTACATCCCCTGAGCTCTGAGGAGAGGAATTTGATGGAGACATCCCATTTAGTGCTGAGGATTCCAGGGCTCTAAATTTCTGAATAATGTCTGACTGTGGGTCTCTTTGTTTGTTCCAAGCTGCTGAAGGAGGAAGTGTCTCTGATGATGGCTGAGTAGGTACTGATCTATGAAGATATCACAATGTCATTAGTACTTATTTTATTGATACTTTTTAAAAAACAGTATTATTTAGTTTTGTTCTAGGTCCCTAGGCTATGTGTGGGGTGTGTGTGGGGGGGGGTATGTGGTGTATGTGTGTTCTAGGTCCCTAGGCTATGTGTGGGGTGTGTGTGGGGGGGTATGTGGTGTGTGTGTGTGTGTGTGTGTCTTTTGCTGTCTTTTTACCTTATAGGTCTTTTGCATAAGTATTATTATGGTTTCCAGTGTAGTATTTTTGTGGGATTTCTGAACGTGGAAATGAGTGGGTCTTTGCGCTGCTATCTGTTTCTTGTGTCTTTTGTTAGTATCTTTTCCTTCTGTTCGTTTTGTTCAATTCAAATGTCTTAGTTTTTGTTTATTGTTTTATTTTATTATACCTTATTTTTATTTCATTATCCTTCGCGAGGCCATGAGGAAAGAGGTGTGGCGGCACTCAAGGAGTAGAAAGAGATAAATCCATAATGAGGGTATGAGAGAAATAAATCTTTTTTACACAAAAGGAAATAAAAAGAACGCAATAACAAGGGATGGCTCCAGATGTCAGATAAACTTTCGTGAATCGTTGTTTCAGAATTATTATGAATAAAAATATTAAAAATATCAATGAACTTATAGGGGAACTGTTTTGACAGTTTAACACATGTATATATGTATGCTCTGTTGACAACAAGTTTTTGAAGAGGACAATTCCTTGGGTGTGCCACATTGGGTCGGTAGACTAAAGAAATGGCAAGTGCTGCCATCCCTTTTTAATGACTATATCAGGAGGAACACAGGTAGAGCTGTGACAATATAATGGCCGAAATCTTGTATATGTAAACTTTGCTTCCACACCCCCCACTTCTGAAACAATAGGGCCTCTTGTTATAGAAAATGCAGTGCTTTGGAAATTCAGGAAACTAGTTTGCTTTCTAACTTCATACTCCTTAAAAATTACTATACGGAGTTGTGAAATTTTAATCATGTGACAGGAAGCCTGGGTTGGGATCCACAATCCACTTTTAAAATGAGTCTTGTGGGGCCAAAGAGATTTCCATTACTGACAAAGCTCACTGCCTTTAACAGCATGGATGGGACTAGGGAAAGATCAGCCAGAGAGTGGTAACCCGACCCAGAAAGACATGCATGGTCTGTACTCACTCATAAGTGGTCTTAGCGGTTAAGTAAAAGGTAACAATGGTACAATCCACAGACCAAGAGAAGCTAAATAACAAGGAGGGCTCAAGGGGGACTTTCGCTGTGAAGGGAAATAGAATAGGCATGGCTTTTAGGTAGGGGCTTGGGAATGGATGGGATGTGGGGAATAGATGGGGAGTAGGGATGGGATCAGGTGGGATCTGGTTAGGGGAGGATGGAGAGAGACACTGCTGAGTGAAGTAACCCAGTCACAAAAAGAGGAACATGTTATGTCCTCACTCATATATGGATTTTAGACATAGAGCAAAGTATCACCAGCTTATAATTCACACTGCCAGAAAAACTAGGATACAAGGAGGGACCTAAGAAATTCATACAAGGTCCCTCACAGAAAGGAACAAAATCTCCTGAGCATAATGGAACTGGGGTGGTGGTGGTGGCAATGAGTAGAGAGGGAACTAGGAGAAAGAGAAGGAGAGGAGAGGAGAGCACATAGGACAAGAAGATTGAGTCAGGGGAGGGATAGATGAGAGAAAGAGTGAGCTACCATAAAAGAAGGAGCCATTATAGGTTTGAAGAGAAAACTGACTCTAGAGAAATGTCCAGAGACCTACACGGATGCCCCAACTAGCAATGTGAGCAACAGTAGAAAGGCTACTTTAAATTCCCTTCTCTGATAATGAGATTGATGTCTAACTTATATATCATCATAGATCCCTCATCTAATGGAAACAGAAGCAGTCACCCATTGCTAAATACTGTTCAGAACAGGAATCCAGATTCAGAAAGGGAGGAGTGATAAGAAAATGGGGACAAGACCAGGCTACAGAAACCCACAGAGACAGCTGACCCGAACAAGGGGGAGACTGATAGCTGGGAAACCAGCATGGGACTGACTCAGACCCCCTGAACAGGGGTCTCAGTTAGAAGGCCTGGGCAGTCTAAGGGACCTCTGACAGTGGAACCAGGATATATCCCTGATGCACAAAAAGGCTTTCCCCATGGAGGAATACTCCCTTATCCTAGAGGCTGGAGGGAGGGCCTAGTCCCTACTCCAAATGACTTGACAGATTTTGTCAATCCCTCCTGGAAGGCATCACCCTCCCTGTGGAGTGAAGGTGGGGAATGGGATGGGATGGGAGGGTGGTCAGGGGGCATAGGAGGAAGGTAGAAAGGGAGAAGGGGAGAAAGGGAAGGAGAGGAAACTGGGATCGATATTAAAACAAGAAAAATAATAATAATAATAAATCTATATAGAGTAAGTGGGGAACAGAGCAAAAATCATAATATAGTCATGAGTCATACTTTGTGTAAATATATACAAAATAATAAATAAAATAACTATATATAAATAAAAAATACAAAAGAAAGCTTACTTCCAGTGGACCTGAGGTTGGTTCCCAGTACCCACGTCAGGCAGCTCACAACCATCTGTGTATTCATCTCTAGGGAATCTTAGGCCCTTCTTGTGGGTTCTATAGGCACCCTGAGCCACACACAGTACTCACACACACACACACACACACACACACACACATATATATATACATACATACATACATATGCATATATGCATGTATACTAAAATAAACATTAAAATGAGCTTTGTAGACATAAGAAGCTATACTGAATTGCATATATATTATGTATGAATATATATATATATACATGTATGCGTATATATATTATGTATATATAAATGTAACACTATTAAGTCTGAATAAAAAAGTTCAGCAACAGTCTAGTAGCCACAGCTATCAATACCCTTAAAAGTTGTTCCTTATTTTAATTGCAAATAATCTTATGTTAACCACACCCCAGACTATAATTGGATTTATCTTGGTCCATCTTTTTTGCTCCCCTTTACCTTCCAAATGTGACCTTTAACTCTTGCAGAATGCAATAAGCTCACTGTCCCAACAGCCTTCGTGTTTGTAATCTTTCTTTCTCATTTTAGAGAAATCTGAAAAATGTATATAGGTGATATAATTTCCACTTTAATATCCACAGAAAATAACAAGGAAAACAACCATAGTTTGTATTTGAGACTTATTTAACAAGATCGGTACTTATTGACAGTAGGAAGTTTACTTTTAGAGGAAACTATTTGCTCTTCCAGGGAAGGCTATTGATTTTTCCTCCCATTATGCTCCTTAACTGGACCTGGGATGATTGCTGTTTATGCCACCAAAATGTTAGTTGTTCCCATCTGAAACCCCATTATGTCCTTCCCTGGATTGTCACACAAATGCAGGTAAAGCAGCAGACTCTGGCGATTCATGTTGTCAGTGCCAATGTTGAAAGTGCAGAGTGCCAACAGCCGCTTACTGGCATCTGCACGGATTTTAAATCCCTATACTCCTGCTTCTCGGTGGAACACAGAAAAATTCTGCCCCTAAATCACCAGCATTTTTCTAATATCCCTGTGGTTAGTAAATCATTTATCTATCATGGGAGCTGATTATAGGCATTTGTTACTAACATCCATCCCACTGTTTGCTCTTGAAAGTTCACACAGCCCTCTTTGAAATGTCTGTGTGGGAAGTGTTTGAGGAGTTGCTACAAGGTTTCTTTCTGTACTGATGACTGAGATTAGCTCATCTTCCCAGACTCAAGATGGCTTCTGAAAATGGCTTAAGCCATTAAGGTTTTTCCATTTTTTTTTTAACATTTATTTGTTTGCTTGCTTGTTTGATGTGTGTGTGTGTTTGTGTGTTTGTGTGTGTGTGTGTGTGTGTGTGTGTGTGTGTTTGTGCCTCACAGTATATGTGGAAGTCAAGGGAAAATTTGTGGGAATTGATTCTCTTTTTCAACAGTCTGAGTCCCAGGGTATGTCAGGTCATCAGACTTGCTGGTGAGTGCCTTTACCCACTCTGCCATCTCCCTAGTCCTTAAGCTGATGAGCTCACTCAACATGCTTATTTAGCAGAGATTATCTATGTGCACAGAACATTACAATATGCAATGTTCACATAGATAGCTTGATAGTTCAACTCAAAGGAAGTTTTGTCAATCGAATAGAAAATATAAATATCTTTAGCAATTAAGCCAAATAAAACTGAGCCTTAGTCTTTTTTTTTTTTTTTTTTTTTTGTATTTAAATGCCTATGGTAGCTTGAATGAAAATATTCCCCACAGACTCACTGGGAGTGCCATTATTAGGAGGTGTGGACTTGTTGGAGGAAGTGTGTCCGTAGAGGCAGGCTTTGAGATTTTAGATGCTCAAGCCAGGCCCAGTGGCTCATTCTGTCCACCAGCTGCCTATAGGTCAGGATATAGAACTCTCAGCTCCCTCTCCAGCACCATGTCTGTCTACGTGCTACCATGAATCCTGGCATGATGACAATGGACTAGATCTCCGAACTGCATGCCAGTCCCAATGAAATATTTTCCTACAAGAGTTCCTATGGCCATCGTGTATCTTCACAGCAGGAGAAACACTAACTAAGACAGCACCAAAGAATAGCAGCTAGGGTATAGAGCCTGATACACGATTCTGGGGGGAAGTGACTAATTTTGTGATTGGATCTTCTTATTTTTCTGAGATGGGGTTGTGTTACATAGCCCAAGGCATGAATTCACAAACCCTTGTGACTCAATCCTCTTGACACAATTGCTTGAATTATAGATGTGTAACAATAACAAAACCTCCTATACTTAATTATTATAGACTATGGCATTCCCAAAATACTAGGAGCCATTCCAGAGTAAGGACTTCAGCTTGAATTTATGTCTCTTTAATTTGTTTAAGCAACCAGGTAATATAAATAAAACATTTACATTACAAATATCTACAATACAATACAAATGTCTAATGCTTTTGTATGGATACCAGGAAAACCTTAACTGATAAGGTAAACTGAACTGGATTATTCTGGGTATCAGTGCACTGTTAGCATATGATAATTCTTGATCAACTGCAGGGCAAAGAAAGGTGAGTTAGGAAAGTGGTAGAAAGGATCTGTCTTCAAGTCTAGGAAACTTTCAAGGATTACTGGAAATTAACATATTCAAGAAAGAAATTTTAGAAAGTCATAAGAAGAAAGCACTTGCAGGAATCAAGTACTTAGGATGACTTCATCACACATGTTAACTAACTCTTTCCTCATTTTCCCAAAGATCCAAACAACTTGTCATTCATTTGTGCAAGATCTGGGGAACCACATTCCACAAATATCACTGGTAAATTAAAATTAAAAAAAGTAGCCAATACTGAAGCAAAAAAAAAATCCTCTAGAATAGTTCTTAAATTTCAAAAATGAATTTTGAAAATGAAATTGCATTCCAAGTGCCAAGCTCTATGATACCTCAACATGAGAGCTAACTGCCATATTTTGTTAGAGTTCAAGTTGGCAGTTTGTATGCTGGGAACTACTACCCATCTTGTAAACATTTAGCCATCATCCAATGGTTCTGACTGCTGTGACAGTCTCAGGGTGTGTGTTATCATCATGCCTATCGAACCAGGTAGTATAGTTCCCAAGACTAGTAGAAGAATGTTCAACGTACATCTATTAGGAAGTGCTCCCGCTCTTGACCATCTGAAAGTCTACAGATGACTTACTGTTGGTTTCAAGACTCTCACAGAGTTCACTTTTCACCTCGCCATTTGGTCTGTCATTGCCTTTTTGGATCAGTTTGCTTTGCATGGTAGCAGCTGTCACCACAGCCTTGAAGCTTCTCTTGCGTTTTTGAACATTCTGCTCTGGATGAAAAATTATAATATACACTTTGGGCATATAGAGCATTCCAAGAGACACCGAAGCACTTAAACTCATGGAGACAGTAAGTGTTGTTGTCTGGATGTACATCTGAGAAGAGGAAAAAGGGAAAAGAATCATGGTTATTAAGTCTGACTAGTAGGAGATAAAGCAAATAACACACCATTTTCTAAAATTATTCCAGTTTCTCTCCTATTGCTATGTTGGAGAATATTTACTGAAATTGCCCTTTGAATGTAGTCAAGCTTTCATTCTGACAAAGTACAAGTAAAAATGACTGACTTTATTTTAAAATCCTCATTCCTTAAAACAAATTGGGAAGGGTGGAGCTTCTCTTACTTTTTATATGATAAACTGGGTAAGGAAAGGGAAAAAAATACAGTGTGACAAGAGACTAGCATTTCTCCCCTTATACATCTTCTTAGAAGTGTACCACTGAACCAAATAACCACCTCAATACTTAAGCAAGAGGCAAGTACATATAGTGAATACAGAGGCATCACAGCAATCTAGGTCATCATGATACACATCGCTTTTGGAGCATGATAGCTCTCACATCACTGTGTAGTTGCGATCAACACACCTGATAAAAATAACAAACATGATAAAAGAGCTTTGTTTTTTGATTTTTTGGCCTTGTGGATTTTTATGTTTGCTTGTTTTTTGTTTTGTTTTGTTTTGTTTTATAACAGCCTGTCCAAAGAATAAATTTTGGTATTTCTCAATGTTTATATCACATCAAAGTAAATCTAGGAGGCTCAACAAAATATAAAAGATCTCCTCATGGGGTTAGAGAGATGACTTAGTGGTTAAGAATACTTATATTTGAAGAACAGGATCCAGGTTCAATCCTCAGTACCTACATGATAGAACATAACTGTCCATAACTCCACTTCAAGGGGATGCAACACTCTTCACTGACTTCCATGGGCAAAATGAACACATGTGATACACAGACATACATGTATACAAAACACATACATATGAAATAGGATAAATATGTAATTAAGAAAAAGAAATATTTCTTCCTTTCAGATGCCAGATATCTGTTCGGGTAATGGAGTCTCAACAGCAATTCTGAAAAGACATTCCCTCTGATGATTCCTTGCCTCATGTTAGTATTATAAGCTCTTTGTTCTTATGAGAAATTTAGAAAAATGAAGGAACATGAAATTGGGAAGGAGATGTCTATGAAAGGGTGTATGTGGAAAATTAAGAAAAAAGTAGGTGGTGGATATCATCAAATACATTGTATACTTGTTTGAAATTTTTAAACAATAAGTAAAAAATGTCATAAAGAAGGGGTAAAGCATGCAAAGAATGTGACAAAGTTCAAACTACATCCACTTCAATTGATTGTCATCAGAATTGTCTCAGTCAGACTCTTTTAAGTTCATTTAAACTAAAAATAAGCAAAAGAATTTAGAACTCAAATAACTCTCACATGATAGAATACTCACAAACTCATTAGCTAGATTTTTAAATTTATCTTAATCAGTTAGCCTCCCTAACACATACAATATTAATACAAGTAGTACTTGATATTTAGTTTTATTTGTCATGTTGGAACAATCTAGAATCACTGAATTAGAGTCTCACTGAGGGGGCATCTAGATCAGAGTGACCTGTTGACATGTCTGTAGAGGATTGTCTATGTTGATAATTTTGATGTGGGTAGAAGCAGCCTACTACAGATAGCACTGTTACCTAGATAGTGTAGAGACAGTGCTGTACACAAGTATAGTATTTGCACACACATTTTTTCTTGTATATTGGTTGTGGATATGACTACTGATTCAATTTCAAGCACTGACTTTCACGCAATGATTTACTACAATCTGGAAATGAACATGTCTCAGAAAGTCTAAGTTTTGACTCTAGCATCATTACAAAGTGTGTGTGTGTGTGTGTGTGTGTGTGTGTGTAGTTTACCTGCATGAGAAAAGCCTTATCCACACACGATGATTGGACAAATGTATGACCTGGCTTTTCTCTCTGGCTTTTAATTTATTATCTAGAAAATCACACTTATATGGTGTTTGATGGTTTGAATAGGTATGGCCCCCATAGACTCATGTGTTTGAATGCTTAGCTCATAGGGAGTGTCAGTATTAGAAGGAATAGCCTTGTTAGAGTAAGAGTGACCTTTTTGGAGAAAGTGTGTCACTGGGTGGGAGGTAGGAGCTTTGAGGTCTCAGATGTTAAACTTATACTCTGTACATGTGTTATCTCCTGCTGTCTGCAGATCAAGATCTAAGACTCTCAATTTCTTCTCCAGCACCATGTCTGCCTGCATGCTTCCATGTTTCTTGCCATGACAATCATGGACTAAACCTCTGAAAACATAAGCCAGCCCCAATTAAATGTTTTCCTACATAGGAGTTGTCTTGGTCATGATGTCTCTTCACAGCAATAGAAGCCCTACATAAGTCAGGATGTTATTTAATAAAATAATATGTTTTTGGTTAAAATATAGACTCAAAATTCTAACGAAAAAGTTACTCATCATAGAACTTTGAATTTATAAAGGTACTAACAAAGTCTCCTTCCAGGTGTATGTGACAAGAGAAATATCCATAGATAGCTGAGCAAACCAGGGTGTTTGGGGAATGGTGATCAGATAGCTGTGTTCTACTAGAAAAGATTACTGTACTCTTATTTTGAAGTAAGAAGAACTTCTTTTTTTCCAAACTCAACTTATTTGTTGATATTGAAAGCTACATACCTAAAATAACATCTATTTCTTAGGTGATGGGTCACTGGATAAAGGAAGGGATTATAGCAGCTCACACTAAACTATATAAATTTATCAAGAGATACTGACAGTAATATGGTATTAACTTTTTCTCTTTCTATTCTTAGCTTTTCATCCTGCCTCCTCCTACTAAACTCCTATGACCAAGGAAGGGGAATTGCTTTTTCTTCACATTCTCTGATAGCCTGCTATGTCCTCAGCTTCCAAGTCCCTTCAATATGTGAACCTGAAACAACCAGATGCACTGAAGTGGAAGCAAGCATTTTCTGGAAAAGCCACAGAGGAGAAGACACAATGGGGTACTCAATGGTAATATCTTTTCCACAACCTTCTCTTTATTCAGAATAGACCATTTTCACACATCCAAGATCTCATAAAATGGGTCGTGACCTAGAATCCTAAAGAAAAATTGGAGGGTATTGATAGAAGTTTCTGTTCAGCCCAGTCCCAAAGCCCTTCAGTCCCCAAATAAATACACAGAGACATATATTAATTATAAAGTGTTTGCACGATGTCCTGAGCTTCTTATTGACACACTTCTATTAATTTAAGCATCTCCACATGGTCTTGGCTTACCAGAGAATACCCAGGCATCTTACCTTCCCTGTAGCTACATTTCATTTCTCTCTGGTGACTGCTCCCAGCCTTTCTTTTTCCCAGAATTCTATTCTGGTAGCTCCACCTGTATTTCCTGCCTGACTCATGGCCAATTAGGATTTATTCATCAACCAATAAAAAAACATATATTCACAGCATACAGAAGGACATCACCCATCAGGAGGGTGTTCTAATTCTCTGTGATGTTTGATCTTTTTCTTGCAAGAGCTGCCTTAATACAGACTTCCATAGATGTTGACGTCTCACCTGATAGTTTTTCAATCCCTTAGCAACTAAAGTAATCTATTCTGAGAAATAAGGAACAAATCAGCATTATGTTAACCCTCCTTCACTCCTCACACCATAAAAAGTGTGCCCCCTCTCAAATCAGCTTCACATTTAAGTCCCTTTTCATATTATTGCACACTAAAATGCAAATTCTTTATTTAAATGTTAAAAAATATTCTTCCTGTTTCTTTGGCATTTTGCTTAAGATCGACAGAAAATATAGATATTCTCTTTTAAAATTATTTTTAAGTTTTAAATTGAAAGAGAATTATGTGCTTTCCTCTAATTCCTGTTCTCCCCTACAACCTTTTCCAGCTACCTACTCTTAAATCCCTCTCATGGCCCCCATTCTCAAATCAATAGCCTGTTTTCTTTGATTATTTTTGTTATATAGACATTTAAAAATGGGTGTGTATGGGAGTGTGTACATATATGCATATGCACACACATACCTATACGGCTGTGAAATAGTCTCTCCTAGAAATGGCTAAATAGATGCAAAGGGAAAACAAATATACTTTGTGCTTGAGTAAAATTTTGGGTTCTGCACATTCAAAGGATCATGTTGAAGTTCAGACTGGGAAAAATCACTGCCTCAGATGTTGTGAACCTTTCAATAGGCTAGAGATGTCACTGTGAATTCAGCAGAGAAGACACAGATGCCTTTGATCTGAATTAATGCTGATTCTCATTACATCCTCTTTGGGATTAGGATGCATGTTTGTGAAATGGAGTGTCGAATCAAAGGCTAAAAGTGCAGCCTGTGAATAAAGACTATCAGCATACTGTGGGCCTTGTTCATAAAGAAGCTCTGAGTCCTTAACTTTGAACTATTGGTAATGCGGTTAGAAGCTATAGAAAAAAAATGTATGATCAAAGTATGAGTAGAATATCATGTTTGTTAAGAGTTCAAATGATGCTTTTCCAGGAAGTTAAAGACACTTTAGGTGTGTGTGTGTGTGTGTGTGTGTGTGTGTGTGTGTGTGTGTGTGCATGTACATATATCTAAATCTAGCAGTCAGCAAGTGAGGCAGAATAATTAATTGTGTGTTTCTGGCCATGGCCATCAGAAACATGAATTCAATGCCAAGAAAGGCTAGTTGCATGGAGAGACCATGCTTAATAAAACTAAACTGACACTGACAATTATTAAGAATGAGTGATGGGAGATGTCATTCTGTAAATATGCTTCTCTTATTGGTTAATCAATAAAGCACTGTTGGCCAATAGGAAGGCAAGATAGGCAGGACTAGGAGACAAGAATGATTCTGAGAGATGTAGAAAAGGGTCAAGATGTAGAGACTTGAGAAAGCAGAGGTCCAGAACCTCTCTCCAGTAAGATAAGACCACATGGAAATACTTAGGTTAATAGAAATTGGTTAATATTTAAGACAGAGCTAGCCAGTAAGAAACATTAGTAACAGGCTTACACTAATACAGTGTCTCTGTG